CTTTCTTTACTTTACTTATTACAATCTATTTGCATTTTTTTCTCTTAATGCTATATACCAGAGGACAGCATGTAATAGAAGATATATAGTGACATGGAACTGGAACTTGGAGTACCACAGAGTTCTAGACTTAGACTTAGACTTAGACTTGTACTTTGTTGATCCCTTGGGAAGACTCCGTCAGGAAATTAAAGTTACCAGCAGGCTACAGGGCAAAAAAGTGGCACACAGAGAGCAAAATGTAAAAAAATACAAAAAATACAGATTAAGTACAGGTACACATGAAATGTAAATAGCCAAAAAATAAGAATATAAATACAAAATAAAAAATAAAAAAACCTAAATTAAACAAAAATAAGCAATAAATATGGAGTTCACATTTTACAAAAAAATATAAGCGTTGCTACTCCTTTTTTCTTCCCTCTTTCCTCTGTCTTGTGTCACCTCCTCCCCCCCAGTAAGGAGTGTACAGTCTGATGGCGTGGAGGACAAAAGAGTTCTTGAGTCTATTGGTCCGGCACTTGGTAAGCAGCAGTCTGTCATTGAACCGGCTCATCTTGCTGCTGATGACGGTGTGCAGAGGGTGGCTGCTGTCGTCCATGATGTCCAGCAGTTTGTTCAGTGTCCTCGCCTCTGCCACCGTCACCAGAGAGTCCAGCTTCATGTCAACCACAGAGCCGGCCCGCCTGATCAGTTTGTCCAGTCTGGACGTGTCCTTCTTGGATGTGCTACCTCCCCAGCACACCATGGTGTAGAAGAGGACACTGGCAATCACAGACTGGTAGAAAATCCACAGCAGTTTGCTGCAGATGTTAAAGGAAGTACATCCTGCTCTGTACCTGGCAGCACTTTTGTTAACATCACAATAATTTAGATAATTCAAAGCAAAAAAGTGTATGTGTATGAAAGTTTGTATGTTACCATGCAGGATACATACAAATTTGCATAACCTTATCTAAGTATTCATTACTTTTCTTGAATGAGTATAAAGTTTGATTTCCAATTATTCAATTGAAAAACCACTAAAGTAAAACTGAAGACAGAAATATTAATCATTACTTTTGAAATGTAATATGACTATCAGATGGGGTCAGATGCAACATGGGTCTTCTATCATAAGAAGAGCTCTTCATGGATATGTCAACTTGAAAAGATGCCAATGCATTCATCTTCATCACAATGGAAACCTATGACTGTTTATTTGTTTATCTGCTCGAAATATCAGTCACACAGCTACAGCTGATTGATGGGGATTGAGGAGGATGGGGGGCAGTTGTTTCTTATTTCCTTTTTTACAATAAATATAATTATTTTGACTTCCTTCAATGTATTTCAGTGACCACATGTTTAAAAGTAGTATTTTAAGGATAGACACCGCCACCTTCAAAGTGGCACTTAGCCTTCCAAAGGAGAGGGCTACTTAAAAAAAAAAAAAGATCTCGAAACACATCAGGGACTAAGACGAATCAGTATACTTTCCTTTGGTCTTATGGATCATAATTTTATATTCTGTTTGCAAGCCACGGGCGTTTTGTACTTAAAAATTTACTTTGTTTAACAAATTAACCAGAAAACAATTTAAAAGTATCTTAAATGGACAAGGGATGTATTAGTGTGCACACATACCTAGTTAATGTACAGTAATGTAAGAAAATGGTCAGAATTATGCCCATAAGCCTTGTTCCTAGACACGTAGAGGAAAAACAGGAAATAATTAATTTGCACAAAAATCTAAAGCGGAAAAAGTCATACTGAGTAACTTGAATAAAGTTTTGAACCATTTTACAGTACAGATAGGTGAATCCATCGTTACCACTTATTCCCTCATGGGGAGAAATGGAGCCTGCAGTGGTCAATAGGCCAGGGTACACCCTGGACAGTCCATCGCACAAGAGATACAAGGACTCACACCTAGGGGCAATTTGGAATGTTCAATCAAAGGTCAATCAACCAAACATGCAGGTTTTTGGACTGTGGGAGGAAGCCGGAGAACCCAGAGAGAACCCATGCAGACACAGGGAGAACATGCAAACTCCACACAGAAAGGTCCTGGGTCCCCCGGGACTCGAACCCAGTACCTTCTTGCTGTGAGGCAACGGTGCTAACCACCACAAAGATCTTTCTACCAAACTAGCACTCTATCACTAACCTTGACCCAAACCAAGATTCCAGCATCAAGTTCTGATACTTTATGCATCAATAAAAAATTGGCAAAAGCCAATAATAATAGATTTTATGATTACATGTATATTACAGTATACTGACGAACTGTTCAGATTTAAGGCAAAGCTTAATGTTGTCCATACAATTGGAGTAATTTCCTAAGTGTCATTAAGGGCTACCATTACCATAATAGTTTATTGCCCTGGTCTTTCTTGTCTTGTATAATTCTTACATCAAATAACTCACTCTGAAGCCCTTTTGTTGTAACTGTTGATGCAAGGGTATGGTTTGCGCACCATACCCTCTTTACTGCCTTATAATCTTTGTGGCCTCCTGGTGGGTATTGAATAGCCAGGTTGTTGGTCAAGAGGGATGTGATCGGTAAGATTTAGATTAGAATTTTCTGTAACGCAGATAAGTGGCTCTGTTGCACTTCTATCCATCCATTTTCTATCCCACTATTTCCTTGTGTGATCCTTGGGGGGGGAACTCGAGACTATATCAGCTGACACTGGGCAGGTGGTATACACCCTGGACAGGTCGCCAGTCCACGGCAGGGCTGCTATGCACAGGCACTGTGATCTTGTCCATCTGAGTTCAGCCTAACTGTATTAATCTTTTGTTCTTGCAAGGTTTACACAAAGAGACAAAATAGCTATGCTGACCTTTTAGTGACGACCACTTAATTATCCAAAATATGTACAGCTCTGACTGTGGTCATCAAGAAAAACAGCCATTTGACCACAGTAAATTGAACTATAACAAATTGTATTTCTTTCTCTTTCAGTGGTTTGAGTAGATTGAATAACGGGTATATACAGTATGAGACTGACCAGCATGCACATTAAACATGAACTCAGAAGAACATTTTCTATGAATGTTAGGTTGCCTCAGGTTTTAACCATGAATATTGCTATCACCCTTACTTATTCAAGATTCTGGCTCAATATGTACAGCACTTGAGGCATAATAAGAGTCCCAAGTGACAGCGTAATTAAAACGATAGCATCATTTTTTTACTCAAGATATCTATTGAATACAAAATATTACAGCCACAAACTGAAATCTGATCCGTGTATATCGATCGTTGGTCAAGAATAACTTTTCTATCCCTTTTATTTATTGAAAGATGGCTCACCTATGTTTGGGTCAATGGCATCATCTCTGTTTATTTAAGATGTGAGTTTAAAAGGGTCACTTCAGCTGTCAAACAAAGATGCGGAGATTGATTTTCAGAGTGTAAACCCCATTTTCTATTTTCATAACAATGCCCCTTTCGGAGTTATCTTAAAGTTGTATTAATTAGGAATTTTTGTTTTTTATTCACGTTAAAAATTATGCATTTGATGATATCTGCACTCAACATGGTTCAATTTACATTTTCATAATGCAGGTACATGTTAAAAGCCATGTCACAGTTTTCTACACATTCTTTCATCAGCGTATCCATACACATATATATTTGATTACTAGACACAGAGGTGTCTCTAAAAAACAATGCATTTAAAAAAGAACGGAAAGATGTTTCTTGCCGTAACTGCAGGCCTGGGAAAGGGGCACCCAGAAAATGGATTAAATACTTTGATTTTACTCCACAAATACTAGCAAGTCATCTTTTAGAATTATTAATAGACAATACAAAAACTTTTTTTTTCAAAAGTTTAGTTTTGGTCTGCGTATTGCACTGTCCTCATGTCCATACAATCTAAAGGAATTTGGGACTTGTACAAACCTAATGACCTAGTTTTTTAAATGAGACATTTTCCTGCTCTGGGTTTACTATGCCAACTTTCTCATTTGTCATACTTTTAATTGAACTATGTGCCAAAAGGTTCAGATATACTGTATGTCCTCAGATTTACACTTCTTAGACTTAGCCGGAAACACAGCAATGGACCACTTTGCACTGACATAATTTACCTGATAAAAAGGAGAAAATGTTAAGTTTGTATTGGCCATGGATCAAAAGAGTGAAGCAGACCTTTTAATATAAAAGATCACTGTCAGATTGGAGAAATTAAAGTCAGAGACCATTGTGAGGAGTGAGGAATGAAGTTGGAAAAGCTCAAGGGTATTAAATCTATAATGAATAACCTCAAGTAAACAGACAATTGTGACTCATATAGAAAAAGAAATACTCAGACCATATTCTCTAAGAGACTAAAATAAATCATATATAACTATTTCAATCAGGCATTTATTTCTAATATTTTCTTTGTATTATTCATGATGCACAAGCAAAGTTCATCAAATGTTTGAACACACGTTATTTACTGTGATTCATAACCATCTTGAGGTTCCTTTCTACAGATGAATCATTTACATGAAATAGGAGGGTTCTCTAAATAACCTCTTCTGATTCCTGTCAAAATCATGCAAAATGATATATGGTCTTACTGAAGTACAGAAGGCCTCCGCTTCAAAATATTGAATATACCTCCCCAGTATATCCATTATGAACCCAAATAGTCTCTAACTCTATCTCACCAGTCCTCTCCCCAATGTCAGGTGGGATAGACTTTAGTCCCTCTGCAACCTTACTACGAATGGATGGATACTCCAAATGAAATATACTATATTCAGACGTGATTTGAAAGTCCAATCTGAATATAGTATGGTTTGATTCCACATTGAAGCCCTAAATCCCATATCTAGGGGTAGCATATTTGGAATGCTTGCTTTTCAGTCAATCACTTTACAAATAAACCAGATTATTTACAGTAAATAATTTGAGAACTTTGATTTGTCAACTTTGATTTACAATTAAAATTTTATTTTAAAACACTTCACATGCTGTACTTGAATTTTTTGTACTTGGTAGGACCATATGTCAAAACCTTTCTAAAGTAAAAATGACAAGAAAAAGTAAAATCAACACATATTATTTTGGACATTAATATCTTTTCTTTTATTAAGACAAGAACTCTTCATTGCTTTGTAAAAATGTCTATTTATGAACCAATACAAAATGTGTATGGGAATATGGAACTCCTTTTCTCCATTAATACACATTACATTTCCCAAGTACAGCAGAGAGACAAAAAAAAGACAAAAAAAATGTAATCTGAAAACAATGAAGTGGTGAAACAATCAAAACTTTTGGGGAAATCAAATTAACTTCCAAAAAAGGTGGAACTTTCAAAGGGACAGATGAACAGAAACTTTAGATTTCTGATCCTGCTTAACTCCAAAATTTACCGTATTTGTTAACAAAAGAGCAATACATAACACATCTTTACAGTGCACCAAATATTAAGAAAATTACATAAAACATGTACAACATATATGCAAAATATCTAATTGTGGACCTAAAAGAGTGTGTTGCACTTGATGTAATAAATGTATTTTACTTGTTTGATGTCACCGAGAGGTGGGGCCTAAACTTTGCATTCTACCTGAGATACAGTCATATCTGTTAGAAATGCATGAACCTGAGACAGGATGTTGTTTAAAGAATTTATTGTGGAGAAAACTACCTCAGTTTTACTTTAAGTTAAAAGTTCTACAGAGAATGTCATTAAAATCATACACACAGTTACCTAATGTATCATCCTGCTCTGTATTAACAGGTCAGATTAATAAATTATTTTCAAATAATTTTCATGTTGTTATTTTTCAACATCTGATAAAACAACTGACATTCAAAGCCATTAAAAAGGTTCAATACTCAGAAATTTCATAAGCCTTTAAGGCTTGGGGGAGAAGACAATATTCAGTTCTATTCCTTTATTGACAAGTACATTAAAGTTGGATTTAAATGGAAGCTGCCACGTGTCACTTAAGCAAAATAGTGCACACTGGAAAATACAAATCACACTGTCTCAGTCTAACAGATGAAGTGACAGTTGCTCTGTGATTCATACAGCAACAATAACAAGTCAATTCATAGTTTTTTTTCAATTGGACAGCAGACGATGAACATTAAACTTAATCAGTAACCTACCCTGCCCCCACCCTGCCATTTAACACAAACACAAAACAGTGTCATAAGCATACAGTGTCGACTTAGTGGGAACTCCTTTGTGACTAAAGTAACTCAAGTTTCAGAAGAGGAAACAAATGGACAAAGTTGGACGTAACATACCTCCTTCTAACGCTCATCTACAACCACCACCAGTGGAAAAGATTAAAATTAATCGCACAGCTACATACAGCCACCTCCACGTTCAACAACAGTAAATGACACTTCATAAGCACAGATGCAGTGTGTTCAATAAAGTTAAATCTGCACAACAAAAGGTCCAAATTGAATGCATCTGGTTACCCATGACCCCCCCAAATCTCAATATGGAAAGACTGAATGCTGTCTTCATGTATGATCATGGTATTAAAGCTATCTCACAGGTTATGTGTTGCAATCTAAGTTTCACACTAAAATAGTCCAATCCAATGGTTCAACATTGCGATAAATCATCATAAGATACAGGTGTATATGAAGGCAAGCAACAAGGAATCCATTAATTTTTCTAACGGGTGGAGTTCAGTGCGTGTTAATTCAACAGAGTTGACATACATACAGTATCTCAAATTTTGTGTTTATGATCATGACATAATTAAATGTTTGAATAGAAAGCATTTTGGTAAAATTCACAGTGAAGAACGAAGGTGATATGCAGTAATGGTATGAGTCAAAAGGTGCAAATAAATGAAGAAAAGATACAGCCAATGAGAAAAGGACAAGCAATACAAACGTCAGAGTGGCCCCATTAATTATTAGCAAACCTATGTCTAACTTTCGTCTGCCCTTCTGTGGTCATTCATACCCCAGGACTCCCTGAATCCAGGGATATAAATGACACAAGGGAAAGACGGAAAAACATTGAGAAAGAGGCAGATTTCATTGACAGAGTGAAGAAGTACTTTCAAATTCAGATCCTCTTATTTATAAAGCTAAAGAAACATGTTTCTTTTTGTAAAACAAGTGTTTGAAATTGTTTCCTAAAGGGAAAGGTCTGAGAGGGGCCCAATAATTTCAATTGTTCTGCTTCACTGACTCATAAAACAAAACAGTTCAGGTTTTGTCCCAGTGTTAACGCCTCATGTGATTTGGCAAACGTTTTGACCACTCCTAAAAGCTGTGTGGTCCAAGCCTGCAAAATTATTATTTTTTCTCAATACTGCACAAAGTCCCGCATGACTGAACCATAGAGGAAAAGAGCTTTGGGTCTGCAGGCAGATTGATATAATCTGTCTATGACTGAATGCTTGAAGCAACAGATAAACCCTTCTGAGGCTTTTTTGACTAATGAGAATTAGACTACAAACTTCAGATCAGACATGAGATAGCTTTTGTTCTCTGCACATGCTTATAAAGACAATTGGTCCTTTTAGGACAGAAACAGGACAGCCACAACCACACTGAACACTTTCTAGAGCGATGTTGGCATTAACCACCAAAACAGCTCGCTAGCCATCTAGCTGCTTTGTATCCTTTTTGATCTTTGTAATCCTGTGAAGGCAGTTATGATTGGGAATAGCATCTGATATGTGTTGCTTTGTCTTTAAAAGTTTACCCCTAAACTCAAACTTAATGAGCGCTTGTTACCACTGATGTGGATGGTGATATATATTAATGATTTGTGTTGATATGATGGTTTAAATTTCATGTGACGTAGTGATTTTTCTTGTTTGGAACCTAGAAGTTGCCAAGTGCAGTTGTTCACAGATGTTCATATTCACAGAGAGAAATTATTAATTAATTCTGCTGATTGCTATGTAAATGCATAATAATGACAGACAATGTTACCGGTAGACCCTGTCTGCCATGTTTAAAGGCTGGGGCACTAATGCTAACCATGGATAAAGACATAGACCCCAACATGTGTACATGACTTTTGGCATCCTTAGCCTGGCTCAGCTAGCCCATACTGACATTTGTTCAGTTTGTTCAAACCATTTATGTTAAGATGATGTAATCTTAATAAAGTCTGGAAAGTCTGGTTGGTCTCTCATCAGCATTTCAGTTTTAACATTTATGTTCCCCTACATTTGACTTAGCTTGCAATGAACGTGATATAATAAGATCCATGAGTTTTTGGATTTGTAATTCTTTTAATTTTGTAAAAATTATTTCTACGTAAGTATTACTGTAAAATACAAATGGGATTCCACTTGCTTATTTTTACATTGTATGACAACATAACATGAAGAAAGTATGTATGAAGCAGGAACTGGACTTTCAAGATACAGAACTGGAACATAACTTTAATTTGCACGTTTTGGTTTGGGGTTGGTTGAGGCTGCTTCTCTGGTCAACACAGTTATGTACACTACACCAAAATGAATACCCAAGCTATTTTCAATGGATGTTTTCAAGGCTCAACATTTAAGGATATGTCCAAAAATATAGTTAAAAAAACAACTTATTTTCTAACTTGTTGGAAAACAGGCTTCCAAAATAGCTAACCCTAACAAATTATCTAAGAAAAATAACAAAACAGAGGCACAAGGAAAACAAAAATAATTTGCCTCTATGCTTTAGAAAGGAAGGTTTTAGAGACACCGATGTGGAAGTTTGTGAACTTAAGGTTCCTACACATTATCTAAAAACTGAGCAGGTCTGATAAAATACAGAAATATATCTGTACTGCCTTTCACTGCTGTTTTTTAAATGATCTGTTTTAAGGGTATGTGTTGGAAAGCCCAGTAAAGCCAGCCTGTATGTATGTATACATGTGTCCATGGTACAATGACATGTAAAGCATTACATGCATTCTTCTTATATATGTGAAAAATTAGGGAAAATAGAAGGAAGAAATGGCTTAAGACAAATCACAGTATACGGGATATAATTTTTGTTCAGCAGGAAAAGACTGGTGTGTGCAGAAACATTTAGTGAAATGAATAAAGTGGCTATGCCATTTTACTCTCATACAAAAGCCAACATTGATAATTATATGTGGGACAGATGAAACGGGGATAAGGGGAGCAAAGAGGTTACGAAAATGATGATCAATACAGATGCAAAGTGCAGAGAGAACAAAAAAAAAATTAATTTAGAACAAGGCACAAAATTTTCTGAAAACGGTGGAAAGAAAAAAAATTTGTACCAGCAGTTAGGAAGTTGTTGAATGGTGAAACTCTCTACAGTGATTTCTGGCAACCTCTGGTGTACCCTCCCACCCCCAACCCAGCTCCTTACTGAAAACCCAAACCCCAACGTTTTTTGTCCTTTTTTGATTTTAAATTTTTTTTTTTTGTTTAAACACACAAAACATTCCATCTACATCTGCAAACTAGACTAAACAACATCTTACAACCAGGGCTTTCTGTAAAACTCAATCTCTCCTCCAACCACTGACCCCACTACTCTCACTAAAAGCAATCCAACTTAAAATCCCTCCTTCAACGCCCACCTATCCCCTCTGTCCAGTCCCCAAAAACAGCTCAGAAGTAGGACACTGGAGTGCGGGTTTTTTGATTAGATGTAGTATTCTTTCTTTTCATCCGAGTTGCTGTGGCCACCCTCTGCATTGATAATGGCGGTGTCTGCATCCGCTGCGTCATCTGCTCCTTTGGCTTCATGTGTGAAGTAGGTACCTGAGGAGGAGGTGGTAGAAGACAGTGTCACGAACCAGATAATAGTTTGCTGTTTAGATGATACAAAAGATTCAAATGTGACTCTACATTCACAGCACCTCATTATGCAAATCAACCCCCTTGTGGCCATTTATATACACAAACCCCAAGCAGTCTGTAATATTCAGGTTATCCAACATTCTTAATCAAGATTAAAACAAGAGAATCAGGGTTTTTTAAATGATCTTGAGTGGAGAAAAGAGCGTGGATCACAGATTCAAATTAACCTTGTCAAGTTCAGCAAAAGAAAAGGCCACTTCATACCTAATTTACAAGATTTATTCACTTCATATCACGGTAGCACAGTCTTGCGATGAGGACAATATTTGAGATCAAATAAGGAGGAAAATAGGAAAGCCAGTCACGGAAAAATCCTGTTTTAGAAGACAGGAAAAAGGTGTTCACTGATGCTAAAACAAAAGGAAACATGCTGATGGCCTTGTATATATTAAGGCATCAATACAAAAAATCTGTAGCCTATAAAAAAGTGACAAACACATCTGCCACCAGTTGCTAACTAGACAGCTACAACAACACAGAAGCTTTTAAGGAGATGCAATGAAACAATTGAAATATAATAGGATGAAATTATATTTTTGCCATCTCCATAGAGGTGGTCATTGAACCCTTTGGCATTTGTCTGAGGGTGATGGACAGAAAATACAAAAAGTCTGTGTTTGTCATAATGCTCGTGCACCATGAAACATCTGTTGTAATATATGCTTTTTATGACCCATTCGTCCATTTTACATGCAAATGTAGATCACTTAAAAAGATAATAATTTGAGAATATAAATGCGTAAAAACACGTGTTTCCATTCTGGTTTGTCAAGTTCTTCTCAAGCTGCAGATATTGAGCTCTGAGCTGTATTATCAACTGCTTCCACCCTCCAAATTTGCATGTACTATTGTTTTATTTTTTAGTCTGATGTGGGTGGCATGGTGGTTAGTATTGTCGCCTCACAGCACGAGTACAATAGTACACAAATGTGGCTATTTCTTTCAATGGTGTAAAAAGTTTCAAAGAAATGTAACTGGTAAAAATATGAATTCCGCCTGTATCAGACAAATGAAGCCAAAATCAGGATTCTAATTTCCTTTGTTGCTCGAGAGTATTCTGTCAGAGTTAACTGGTGAACTCTTACTCTTTTTACCCCCTCTACTCCACTTCTAGCGCTATCCCTATTCAGTGACAACAACAACTACAAGCAAAATGAAAAGAGAAAAAAGTTCCAAACCTGTGACAAACCATAGTAAAGTCTGATTATGGTGCACAGTTAAAGAGTTTCAGCAGTTGCTGGCAGGCAGCTGATACAAACTCTGTGAGTGTCTTAGAAGTTCAAACTGACTGTAAAGTAATGAACTATGTGGGTCAGCCGAATGTGGTACGACTCTTTTTAAACCCCTGGAATCGTCCCGAGCTTCCATGACAATGTAGCTTTTTACAGATCAAATTCTCTAGCATGTTTTTGTAACTTTTTGTGAATTATAACCATAAAAGAAGATTTAATATACCTGGTTCCTTGTCCTCACACAAAACACACAGTATGACATTTGTTATAGGTTGTAATTACTGTGATGTTATTAAGGTGGCACAGACGATTTGTAAAACTATTGATCAGCACTGTATAAAAATGTGGATTCACCCATTGTCAGTATCTCAAAGCTTTATATATTCAGTAGATCCAAATCATATAACAGTGTTACAAATGATAACCAAAGAAGGTGTTTTGTTTTTAATGTTTCGCTACCTTTGTGTCTTGCAAAGTATCGACCCAAAACAATGAGTAGGCAGAGCATTGCGAAAACAACCACCGCAACCACTCCTCCAATGACTGCATGGTCGACACTTCTGGGAGCTCCATCTCCAGCTCTTGAATCTGAAAGTAGAGGGAAATGAAAATCAGTGCGGGTAGCAGAACTGTTGGAACTCCTCGATATATAGAAGAATAGCAATTGGCCACCAAAGCCCTATGGAAATGTCAGATAGCCAAATGTGATTGAGATGTTGATAACCCCAGATGCAGCAAGCTTGCGGTGCCTATAATTCTGTGCTTTAACAACACCGAAACACAACTGCCATGGCTGCCTTTTGCCCTGACACATAAAGCTCAGCAAATTTTGTGCTGCTTGCCAACTGCATAGAATGTTACTCCTATCTTCAACACAAAACAAAAAAACACAAAGCTTTTCCCCCCCTTTTTTATTGAACTATATGAACAAGGAAGTGAGGCAATCAACACAAGTAATACCTCCCTTCATTTATGTGAAGTCAAAGAGCAAGGAAATGTGTTTTACCTTTAACAATGAAAATTACAGATGTATCATGTTGATACACATTTGAACATACTCCAACTGTATTTTAACGACTAAGCAAATCTTAGGATTTTTGCTTTACATGTTCCTCATTTGAATGAAAATATGAGAGCACATTGTTATAGTTGCAACAAACGCTTCATGTATACAACTGCTTTTAATATATGTTAAGATTGTGAAATTTCTGTTACTTTGATTGTAATTGTTAGTTTCCTTTCATAAGACGAGAAAATAATTCATGTCTTCGTCTTGGCTAATTTGGACCTTTTTTTTCCTCCTGTTTTCCGACATTTTAATAAGCAATCTGTAAAACTGCCATGACAATAACTTTCAGGATCGCAATCAAGAACTGATTAAGAATTACCATATTCCTGTCAGAGTGCAGGAAATCAATCAGCATTTCATCTTTCTTTAAAAATTTGTTTGGCCTGGATTATGCAACACTGTGACATTGAATATTTTTAAAAAACATCTTAGCGGAACTATCTAGAAAGATCAAGATGCAATAATACAAAAACTAAACATTTGAATTGAATGTCAATAGTGCTAATTGTATATATAGTACATATAGAAAAATATATATGTATATTGGTCTGATCCGTCAAAAGGATATCTCTATATATATATATATAATTTAACATATTTTTGAGTTACAAATATATAAAATAGGACACCAATTCAAAGGCTTTTCAATTCAGGACATGAAAAAGTATGGATCTTTGCAACCCTAAGAATTATGTTACTAGTTCCTCAATATGATCTGTTCTATGATAGAACATCATACTGAGTATTTCTTAGTCTTTAACATAAAGTTATTTTAGTTCATTAATATCTGTGGCATTGGTTTCTGCACAGTTCTTTTAAAAGTTCCTCCATAGCATTCTAATTAGGCTGAAGTCTGGACTTTTGCAATACCTCGGTTCTTTTCCTTGTCAGACATTCAGCTGTGGATATGCTACTACTGATGACCCACTTCCAGCTAAGTTTTTGGTTTTCAGACAGATGGCCTCACATTTGACTGCAGAATAATTTGGTATACACATGACTTTATGGTGGACAATGACCGAAAGGTTACCAGGTCTTATGACTGCAAAACAAGCTAAAAAAAATGAACCATTCACCACAGCTGCTATAAGGTGTTAATAAGTTGTGTAGCTTTTTCCAAATGTACTGCTAAAACCAATCATCTCCACTTTGGTCTGATCTGTCCAAAGGATGCACTGTGCATGTGCCTGAGCGAACATCTGGCTTCTGAAGCACTCAATTTTAATGTTATGTTAAAACTATTGATCAGATTAAAGGATCCGTGGCAACTCCACCTGAATATCTATTTATGATCCTAATTTGGTACTTCATGGAAAACTTTCGTACCAGCCAATGTTCTGCAGAAGGTGAGCCGGAACATTAAGGATGGAGGAGAGAGGATGATGCATGGGCCGTAATGCTTAGTGAGATGGGAAATTACGATGTCCCCTCAAAATATAAAATATTTACCACATCATATCTATTTTGTAGTTTTCATCTTACTTAGTCTCTTCATTACCTCATTAAGCTATTTCACAAAGGTCATATGAACTGTTTAAATAACTAAAATTACGTTTTCGAGAGTCAATGGTTATGAGGCAGGGCCTTAGCCCCTATTCAAATCCCTTCCCTTGCTCTAAACAGGCCTAAATTAAATAACCGATAAAACAAACAGAGAGACAAAGATCTTACGCTATTACCCATCCTGAAACAACTGAATACTCAACCTAAAGGACTGTAATAAGGAGCAGGGAAAGAAGTGCAGTGCTACCTGTCAAACTCAACAAAACATTACCAGATAGATTTAATAGGTTATTTTGACTTCAGATTTGTCTTTTTTAGTGCTGGACAGATTCAATTAAACAGAGCAGGAATCCTTCTGACATCCAATTTGGTCTTGACAGGCAGCGAGAGCTCGAGTGCTCGAACCGGGTTACCTATTACAATGTTGATGTTATGTGGACCTTAGCTATGGGTAAGGTGGGAGAGTGTGTGCATGTTGTGTGGTTAAGGTGTTGCGGGTTATTGGGTGCAGAGGGTCATTCTTGATTGTGTGCATCAAACTTTGCTAGTTTTAATCAATTTCAGGGGGAAAGGAAAGGGAAACATCAAAGTACACACGTGCCCGGTGAATTCACATGCATAAAAAGACAATTTTTATGATTAATTGACACGTAAGTTAAGGTGTAAATTGTCCTGCTCTTGGCACTTAACGGAAGGTTAACAGAATCCAAACAAAATAAGGTTATAATATTTCAGTTTGAAGTGTAATATTTAATCTTAACTCATCATAACTGCCAAAATGCAAAGTGTTTTTTGAAATCCACAAAATAAATAAATTACAGCTCTGAAAGCATCAAAATGCTTCTCAGGGCTTCATTTTTAATGAGCCAGAACTGTCTGAATGCACTGCAATCTGCATGTCATATAAAAAAAATGACCACTTATGAGCAATTACATTCGCAGAGCGTGTTATTTTCTCACAATGAAAGTCAAACTTCAAACTGCAATGATCACGATTTTAGAAATTAATTAAAGTGCATATTTAAGTCAGTAATGGTTGACTTTCCTCAAAAGTCACATCTGTGACTGTCCAAAAGCATTAATCCACATTAAAATTGGGAATTCTGACAATTAGTGCCACATTTGGGCAACTTTGTGTTTATGTCAAAACTGGAAGAAAGACCTAAAATGAAGAAGGTTACCTCAAAAAGAAAGAAACATTTGCCTTTTGTTGCTATATTGATAATGCTCATACAGCTTTTCAGTAGCAATTTTTTAAAATTTATTTAGCATCATAAGCTGTTGGATAGCCTCTTGTCTTTCTTTTGTGATTGTTGTTTGGGCAAAATTGAGTTTTGTCATATAAAAAAGATCAGTTTTTAGTCTTGATGATCAAATAAAAAAGAACACAAACTCACAAAAAATATGAAATAATAAAGAAATAAAAATATGTGCCATAAATGTAGAAATATTTACAAATAATGTAAATCCGTCTACAGCTACACATGAGACTGAATAATTATTTTCTTGTGGAATTTATTTCTCTGTGAAGCACTTTCACAACCAAAGTGCAACTAACTGATGAGCCAAGAGAGAGAAAGACTGGACAGTCATTTCTATTAAAATAAAAAGTGTTTTTAGTCAGTTTAGAGTCAGTTTAACTGAGGATTAAACTGAGGAACTGAGGATTAAAAAGGATTAAAAATAACTCAAGCCACAGACTTGCACATGCTTTCATTATATCCTGGATAGCTCCTACACTTTGTGCAAGAGAAAAAGTTGTTGGCTTTTGTATTGCATCATTGCTGTTCTCTCAGAGCTGACAAGCACCTCAGCTGTACTTTGAAATGTGCTTCAAATATAAATGATTAATCAAGAGTTAGCTTCAAACAAGGTGTCCACAGGGCAAAACAAAGCATGCAGCAGTCAATCAGGATTGGTCATTTCAGCAGGGAGAGAAACATACGAGGGAGTCGTCAGCAGCTCAATTTCAAAGGACATGTTGACAGACGCTTGATTTGGGACAGAGGAGATATCCTAATTGGATCTGCTAATCTGCTAGTTTGACGTTAATGATTTCACTGGTATGCCCATAACACTCGAAGATAGAGGGGAAATCAGGAATACAGTAGCAACAGCACTGTGTAGGTGGGGTGTCACCTGCTAACGCAGTGACTTATCCAAAGGTAAAATACAGAACGTAGCAAAGGCAGAATAGCGTTGAAAATTATATAACCGAAAACAGTACCAAACTTTAGTTTATTTGGGATTTATCAGACATTTCTAACTTTAACAGCCAGTTCACAGATTCGGAAGCACTGACATGATTAGAGAAATCTTCTACTAACCAAAGTACTCTAGCAAACTTCTACACTTCTACAAAGTCGAAGAGCATCTTGGCTGGAAGCAGAAGAAAGATTTAGAAATACAACTGTCAAATGCAGCAGAAACATTGATATCCAGGCTTTTATTCCCTAGAAGTAGCTGATATCCATAGAGGATAGATCTTACAGCATATATCTGTGATTCAAAATAAACCATACTGTCAGAATCAGGAGGGATCTTTTAAAATGTCATTTTCACTTTACAACCTGTAAAGGTAAGTGCGCAAAAAGGTTTTCATAAGCCTCACTAAAATACAGACTTTTATAATAAACAGTGTGAGGCAGATGACAAAAAATGACGCAGGCATACTGCACTGTCCCATAGTGAAAAGAGAGATGATCCTCTAAATTCTGAACTGAGGTAAATCTTTCTATCATCACGACATGACAGAATAGTTTTAACCCTATAACGTCCTGCTCAACCATTTAATAGAGCACAATTTTCATTGATTATACTCAGTCATAAGACATTTGTAGGGGAAGTGCACCTTCCTGAATTATCTTTAAAATTATGTTTAGGTATATGATGCTTAAATTAAGCAAGAGTTATGGCATTTCTGTTTTTGAACTGTCATACTTTAAAAGTGTCACCCCAACTATCTTTGAAAAAAGCATTGATTCTAGTTGTTATTTCTCCAAAGAAATTTAAAAAATGCAAAGAAATATTATCCAGTCCTGGGCATCCAGGCCCAGAAGGGTGCAAGTGGAAATAAAAAGTGGAAATAAAAAAGTGTAAAACACATGAACACAATTGAACAGATTATAAGTAATCATAGAAGTGAACAAACTGTTAAGATATGACAATGTAAATGCTGTGATTTTTAAAGAATCTACTGGAAAACCATATTTGATATGCCTATGGATGACAGAGAGATGCTATCTCCTCAAGAAAAT